GATTTTAGTCGACTAAATTTACAGTAAATTTAGTCGGCTAAAATCGAATGGGTTTAGTTACATTGTAATGCATTTACTAAGCATTTCTCTAAAATTTCCAAACTCATCATATAGGTTTGATATTAAAGGGGTGGTTCACTGGTTTTTTTCTAAGCTTGATTGTGTTTAGACACACAACATGCCTTTATGTTAAAATTAAATAAAACCACTTCTCATAAAGAACAAGAACATGGTCTTCTTTTCAATTAAATACCAATGGTTATATAGGCTAATTATACATTTTTTATAACAACTTTACCATATTCTTCATTCTTTCAAGCAGATTTTCAAGCAATTTAGATTAATCTTTAGGGCTACTAAAGTGATTCAGTCAAGAGTGTCAACAGTCAAGATTTTTTGTCAACAATCAACCAGTGTTTCCCCTGCCATTATATTCGCTTTTCCATGCGTTTTTGTAAGAAAATATCCATACTATGGATATTTATATTAATATTAATAAGATATATATATTAATATGGACCAAAAGGTCCACTTCCGCCTTGCCAAAGATCTCCCAAATTTTTTTAACCGTCTGCGGATGAAGCATCCACTCCTCTGAGGGGACTTTGCTTGGTGACAACATGTCCGCTCCTTGGTTCAGTTTGCCCGGAAAGTGCGCTGCTTTCAGCGAGCGCAGGTTGAGCTGATCCCATTCCAGGAGGTGCTCTATCAGCACAAAGAGGCGCCTCGAGGAAAACCCTCCCTGGCGATTTATGTAGGATTTATGTATGCTGTCCGAGCAGACCAGAACGTGGTGTCCCCTCAGGTCTGGTAGGAAGGTTTGACAGGCCCGACATACCGGCAGCATTTCGAGGCTGTTGTTGTGAATACCTTCCTCTGCTTTCGACCAGTGGCAGAAAGTCGGATTTCCTTCGTGCAGAGCTCCCCAACCCGTGTTGGAAGCATCTGTCGAAACCACCTTTCTCCTGCAGACCATTCCCAGGGGGGCGCCCTGTTCCATCCACTGAGCATTCTTCCAAGGGGTCAGGGCTGTTACACAGGCCTGGTCTACCCTGATAAGCAGGCGTCCGTTGTGCCACGCATGGGATGGAGCCCGCTGTTTCAGCCAGTACTGAAGGGGACGCATACGAAGCAGGCCCAACTGTAGCACTGGAGATGTTGTGGCCATAAGGCCCAGCATATTTTGAAAGCTTGAGGGGGCGAGAGGCACCGGCCTTGAAGGAAGCAGCTGTGAAGGGAGCAGCTGTATGAGCAGAGCATGCTCTGTCGCGACCACCACTCTCATTTGGGTTGAGTCGAACACTGTTCCCAGGAACAATACTCGTTGGCTGGGGGACAGTGCACTCTTGGCAAAATTGACCCTGAGCCCCAGGCATTCTAAGTGGCTAAGGAGGAAGGCTCTAGAGATAGTGACTACGTAGATAGTGACTCCGCCTCCAACTGGGCCAGAACGAGCCAGTCATCGAGGTAATTGAGAATGCGGATTCCCTTCTGCCTCAGAGGGGAAAAAGACGCATCCATGCACTTCGTGAAAGTGTGTAGAGCCAGGGACAGCCTGAAGGGAAGGACTGTATAATGATAAGCCACTCCCTCGAAGGCGAATCTCAAGAATGGCCTTTGATGGGGGGCTATCTGGATGTGAAAGTAGGCGTCTTTCAGGTCCAGAGAAAAGAACCAGTCCTCTGGGCGGATTTGCGAGAGGATCTGTTTCAGTATAATCCTCCTGAATGGCCGTCTCATGAGGGCACGATTCAGACGTCTGAGATCGAGGATGGGCCGTAGGCCACCATACTTCCTGGGGATGAGGAAGTAACGGCTGTAGAAGCCTGACTCGCTCTGGGCCGGAGGAACCACCTCTATGGCTCCTTTTTCCAGCAAATTCCTCACTTCGGCACGCTGGTCTACCCTGATAAGCAGGCGTCCGTTGTGCCACGCATGGGATGGAGCCCGCTGTTTCAGCCAGTACTGAAGGGGACGCATACGAAGCAGGCCCAACTGTAGCACTGGAGATGTTGTGGCCATAAGGCCCAGCATATTTTGAAAGCTTGAGGGGGCGAGAGGCACCGGCCTTGAAGGAAGCAGCTGTGAAGGGAGCAGCTGTATGAGCAGAGCATGCTCTGTCGCGACCACCACTCTCATTTGGGTTGAGTCGAACACTGTTCCCAGGAACAATACTCGTTGGCTGGGGGACAGTGCACTCTTGGCAAAATTGACCCTGAGCCCCAGGCATTCTAAGTGGCTAAGGAGGAAGGCTCTAGAGATAGTGACTACGTAGATAGTGACTCCGCCTCCAACTGGGCCAGAACGAGCCAGTCATCGAGGTAATTGAGAATGCGGATTCCCTTCTGCCTCAGAGGGGAAAAAGTTGCATCCATGCACTTCATGAAAGTGCGTGGAGCCACGGACAGTCCAAACGAAAGGACCATGTATTGATAAGCCACTCCCTCAAAGGCGAATCTCAAGAATCGCCTGTGGTGGGGGGCTATCTGGATGTGAAAGTAGGCATATCGAGGTAATTGAGAATGCGGATTCCCTTCTGCCTCAGAGGGGAAAAAGCTGCATCCATGCACTTCATGAAAGTGCGTGGAGCCAGGGACAGTCCAAACGAAAGGACCATGTATTGATAAGCCACTCTCTCAAAGGCGAATCTCAAGAATCGCCTGTGGTGGGGGGCTATCTGGATCTGAAAGTAGGCGTCTTTCAAGTCCAGAGAAATGAACCAATACTCTGGCCGGATTTGCAAGAGGATCTGCTTCAGTGCAATCATCCTAAACGGCCGTTTCATGAGGGCGCGATTCAGGCGTCTGTGATCGAGGATGGGCCGCAGGCCACCATCCTTCTTGGGGACGAGGAAGTAACGGCTGTAGGAGCCTAACTCGCTATGAGCTGGAGGCACCATCTCTATGGCTCCCTTTGCCAGCAGATTTTTCACTTCGGAGCGCAGGACGTGTGCGTCCTTTTGTGCCTCCGTGAAATACACGGCGAAGCCTTCGACCGCTGGCCCGAGCAGACCGGCGGGAGAGACCGGGGCATCAAGGAAGGGAACCTTGTCAGCGTCCTTGATTTCCATCAAGGTCAGCCATAAGTGGCGCTCGAGCACCACCAGTCTGGCCATGGAATGCCCTATATGTGTTTTATATACATAAGATACAGTAAGAACATGAAAAAAGAAACAAAGTAAAACAAACTGACAAATACAATAAAACAAAGATACAAATGAAATAAACCATGCTTTAATTTTTTTTCATGGAGGCCTTCTAACATTTTTGTTCTGGTAAGTAATATAGCCTACAAAAGAAATCTAATAAAATAAGCAAGTGTAAAATAACACTGCATAGTTTTCACTGTATAATTTGATAGCTTAATGCTCAATAAAGCTAACGTTATTCAGATTAAGAGCTGTGAGTGATTTTCTCTTTGCATTTTGTTGTTTAATTAACTTATGGCTCAATCGTCAGAAGGTGACTGCATATAAATTGATACACATCGGATTTTCTCCCAGCTGTTCACATCCACTTAAGACATAAACTGTGTTTAAGTAAATACTCCAAGCTGACCATTTTGACATATTTTTGTGTGTATTTGATCATTTGGACACACACATTTAAAATCCAAAGTGTAATTTGCTTATCCATTTTGGAGCACGCACACACAATTTAGCCTAGGGAACAGCGTCTCTTGCACGGGTTATTGTGCTTTCAGCTTTTTATCATACATGTCCCGCAATTTAGCAACAGTAAAGACTGCATTTTACAACAATCACAGATTGTGCTGATTCTGATGTTAAGTTTGGGTTTTAGGAAGGAACGAATGTGCACCGATGTGAAGGGAAAGATGTTGAGCTAGACGAAACGTGGCTAGTTTTTAATAATTTTACCTCATATCATCTTTTCCAAGATCCTTGGAAGCCAACATCGAAATCAACAATAAAATTGGCTTAATATCACAGCCACAGGCCTAAAGTGTAAGCAGACGTTTGAATGTTTAGTTCTCTCCTCTATCATCACAATTAACCTGTTGAGCGGTACGGTCCCACATATGGGATTTTTTTTTCCGTGCCCCTGGGAGTATGGTCCCACATATGGGATTTTTATTTCCGTGCCCCTTGGAGTATGGTCCCACATATGGGATTTTTATTTCCTTGCCCCTGGGAGTATGGTCCCACATATGGGATTTTTATTTCTGTGCCCCTGGGAGTATGGTCCCACATATGGGATTTTTATTTCCGTGCCCCTGGGAGTA